AGTGTGTGTGTGGTGGTGGGGGGGGGGGGGGGGGGGTGGCAGAGAAAAATTATAATGAACACAGTGTCACCCTTATTTCTCCAAAACTCACAAGAGGGTGTCATAAATGGTCAGATTTAAAGCTCAGGTTTGTGCTAAGCAGCTATATAAGGTGACATTTTCCAGCTTAAAGCAAAATTGACAGGGAACAGATCAAGCTAGAAGTAAAACAAAAATCTTGTAAAGAGCATGCACACAGTCATGTTTCCTCTTTGTTGTACAGAAGGAAACACATGACATGCTTTTGTCAAATTTCCTTCTCTGGGCTGGTATGATTGCAATCACACATGTGGTTTACATATAATCAAGGAACGGCCTCAAGCTCCGCTCATCTACTTGCCCTCCACATTGAGCATTTCCTATTGAACCATGGGAAATTTTTAGTTCCCCCATCGTATGTGACATGGAGCCCCAGCATAGCGTCCCCCTGACCCTGGAAACAGTGCATTTTCCAGACAGAGAGGATGCTGTCACAGGGAATAAAATCAAGATGTACTAGGAAAGTGAGGCATCAATTGCAAAAATAAAATACAGGGATTTTAAGCCAGGGATGGAACAAACTCTACCCATATTCCATAATTCCTGCTGTAATGGAGTTACATTTATAACAATTGGTTACATGAATGCATAAAACAATATCAGTCAATGTTTATATTATATGGTCCAGCAGGCTAATAAAATAGACCTCATAAATGAGTCAGCCATAAAATCCATAACAAATTTGGTCCTTAATAAAATGCAGTTTCATTCTGCATAATATGTTGGTTGGCGGATTATAAAACGCTTGCAGATGGAAATATAGATGTACTTAGAATAGTTGATAATAAGGGCGTGTCTGCTGAGTGTAATAAAATACTCCAGCACACCTGTCAATATGTTCCTCAGACCATTTAATTGGATGTCATTGGATCTTTGACCCCTCTCCATGAACATGACAACTGGAGCTCCCATTCACCATCAATACTGTGAAGGAATGTTAAGAGTCACTAGACTCTGAATGGAACCAAAAACCAGTCGAGCTTTACTTTTTTTCCTTTTATTCCCATTTATTTTCCTGCTACTTATTGCCTGTTTTGTAATATTGTATCTGTAATTTTAATTTTTTTCACCAGTTTTTCTTTTTCATTAAAACAATCATTAAAAATTGTTAAGGTGAATAGCAAATTAGAAATCAAAGAACTCTGCTACAGTATTGTAAACTCTGTTACATTCTTGTCTGGATGTTGCAGTGAGTGAGACATAGTATCTTTAAAAGTCACATTTGCAACAGCAGATGCTGTGAACTCTGTGTGTTTTTGTATTAAAACACATGGTAGTAGCTACAGTGTGTAGTATAAGATGTTTAACTGCATGGCAGGGGTGGACTGACAACTCATGGGGCCCCCGGGCAATAGGGGATCATGGGGCCCCTGTGTCCTAGCCCACACTCAAACCAGGGGAATCTCATGGGGTCCCCTACTGACCCCGGGCCCTCGGGCATTGCCCGAGTTCTCAAATGGTCAGTCCGCCCCTGCTGCATAGTTAACCTGGTCCAATAACGATCACTCTCAGTCTCCTGGTGCATAGATTGTAGTCACAGAGCAGGAAAATCTCTACACAGGGTGGGATCTGAGAGGGTAATGTGTCACAGCTATAATTCTACTTTAAATGAGATAGCTTAATAGACTTAAAAACTTATCTAAAAATATTGGCAGCTGTGATGTTCACTAGTAAGATATCTGCCCTAGATACACTCACACTACTTGGCAGCCTTGTCATTACTCTCATGCAGGGGTATACATCAGTACTTAGTGTCCAGTTCTTCAATTCTATTCTGGAAATAACTGTAGTTTACTTTTGCAATAGTAATATATTTTGAGATTCTACAGAGATAGTAACAAACATTTTTTTTTTTTTAATTTTTTTTTAATAAGACTGTTCACATGAATCTGTGCAAATAGTTAGCTTTTTTAAAAAGTAATTATTACTATAGTTTGGATGCGGTGGAACACACAAACACTCAAATAAAACATAAGTTCCTAAATATGCCTTTTCATATACTTTTCAATAAGGATAAAGTTAGATGACTGTTTTTAGACACTGCAATTTTGATAATTGAATAATGCATTGTCTATTCTCCATGCTGAGCTGAGAAATCAGAGATTAGCTCAGCATGAGCTTCAGCATGAATTTCTGTCTTAAACACACCAACACAGTGGAGAGTGATTCATGCCAACAAATGCTGCATGTGGCTTTTCTGAGTTGACCATCCCACCATGCTTGTGCGTTTGCGGAAGTGATTCACATTGAAACTTTGTTCACTGTCAAACAGATGTCCCCTTTGGAAGATTTCCCCTCTATTCTAATGGTCACTGGGACAAATGGAGACAGTGAATCTCCTATCAGCAATGCAAACATGACAGAAATTCTAACCCCTCACCACTCTATCCAAAACTAAAAAAGACATTTTGGCTTTACACACACACACACACATATATATATATATATATATATATATATATATATATATATATATATATATATATATATTTATTTATTTATTTATTTTTTTTTTAATCTTTATTTATGCATTTATAGAAAGCATAACAACATACCATGAAGAACAGAGGAGACAGATAGACATCCAGTTACATAAGAAAAAACAATTCCAGCAAGAACATTGCCCAAAAAGTAATGTTCACCCCAGGAGATATCAACAAATTTTATATCCTCGCTCTTCTATTTAGGGCAATCTGAGAGTACCATCAACAAAGGCCTGAGTGAGGGCTTATGACCGGAGACTATCAGGGTCCAGGAAACAGAGAAAAATTTAAAGTATAACCATAGACAAAACTTGTTTTTAGTTTTACATAGAGTGGAGATGGATTAAAACACTTATTAGGTTTTTATTGTTGTCTGTGCCCTGTTATGGAGATACATCCTATCTATTTGTCCCTGTTTACCATTATCATTAAAAGTAAAAATAAAAGAAAATCCGAAATTTTGGGCTGTCCATAGGAAAGTAATACATCTTCCAATGGGGGCACTAGTTCTGGTGACCTGGGGGGTTCTCATGGAATTCCCTTAATTTGCAGTGAGTTCCTCTCATTTCATGTTTGGCTATGGGACAAGAAGTGAAGAGATGGAGCAATGGGACACAGATGGCAAAAAAAATAATCAAACAGAGGTTATAACCTTAAATGAAAGGAAAAAGTTTTGCCTTTAGTTCTACTTTAAGGAAGGAATTAAGAAAAGATTTAGAAGAAATAAAATAAGGGGGGAAAAGTAGAGGAACAAAGGCAAGAGGGAAAGGGGACAAAATGAGAAAAACACAGAACCGAAAACAGAAGAGACCCCCCTTCCACGTAAAAGGAGGACGGTTTGAAACTATATCAAAATCTATCATTCTAAAAACTTGCCATAGAGAATAAAGTGTACTAGTCTGTGCTCAAGAAAATCACATCATCTCTTTGTATATGTCAGATGTGGTGAAATGTATTCATAACACTCAGATCTTTTAGAACTGAGAATACCCGTAATGCATTGATTTCTCCACTCCTCTGCCAACTGAAATTCTTGCACCTTAAACAGCCAGCCCCTTGCAGTGGGTACCATCTAAGGATTTCCAGTGTAAAGGTATAAGGCTTTTGCTTTACAGATATTTTGAAGAGTGTAAAAGTAATCTTCACAAGCTGCTAACACTTTTTGAGTGCTGATAATGAGTAACATGGATGTGTTTTCGCTTTACTTGTGCCATTTTTGTTGGTGGGTCTCTATTAGTCATTCCAGCTAATTATTCATATGCTCTTAGCACTATGCCTCCTCACAGGACTAAATATGTTTGTGACATTTGATTGAATTGCACTGTAAACATTCTAATTCATTCATTTAATAATGATTCATAGAGTTGTTTTATTGAATTTAAGTGTAAATTAAAATCTCTCTCTCTCTCTCTAACTTCCTCTCGTCCTCTGTCTCTCTCTAACTCCCCCCCCCTCTCTCTCTCACACACACACACTTCATCTCACCCCCCCCCTCTCTCTAATTCCTCTCTTCTTCTGTCTCTCTCTAACTTCCTCTCTTCCTCTCTCGCTCTCTCGCTCTCTCTAACTTCCTCTTTTCCTCTGTCTCTCTCTACCCCCCCCCTCTCTCTCTTCTCTCTCTTCCTCTGTCTGTCTCTCTATCTCTAACTTCCTCTCTTCCTCTGTCTCTCTTTCTAACGCCCTCTCTTCCTCTGTCTCTCTATCTCTAACTTCCTCTCTTCCTCTGTCTCTCTCTCTAACTTCCTCTCTTCCTCTGTCTCTCTCTAACTTCCTTTCTTCCTCTGTCTCTCTCTCTCTAACTTCCTCTCTTCCTCTGTCTCTCTCTAACTTCCTCGCTCTCTCTGTCTCTCTCTAACTTCCTCTCTCTTCTTTCTCTCTCTCTCTCACTTCCTCTCTTCCTCTGTCTCTATCTCTCTCTAACGCCCCCCTCTCTCTCTCTCTCTCTCTCTCTCTCTCTCCCCAACTTCCTCTCTTCCTCTGTCTCTCTCTCTAACTTCCTCTCTTCCTCTGTCTCTCTCTAACTCCCTCTCTTCCCCTGCCTCTCTCTCTGCATCTTTAACTTCCTCTCTCCCCCCTCTCTCTCCCTCTAACTTCCTCTCCCCCCCCTCTCTCTCCCTCTAACTTCCTCTCTTCCTCTGTCTCCCTCTAACTTCCTCTCTTCCCCTGTCTCTCTCTCTCTCCCCCTCTCTCTCTCTCTCTCTCTCTCTCTCTCTCTCTCTCTCCCTCTGCCTCTGTCTTCTCTCTAACTCCCCCCCCTCTCTCTCTCTCTTACCTTTTCTGGCTCTACATATGTGCAACAATTATCTTTACACTTGTTTATGAGAAATAATAAGTGATCAGTAGTGAATAAAACTCCTCTACAGATTAATTGTTGGAAGTTTTAATGTATTCCTTTTAGTGATCTCCCTGTTTTTGTTTGCTTTCTTTCTCTGCCAAGTTCTCGCCATGCACGAAAATGTTCTAAAGTGCCCTACACCAGGTTGCACCGGGAGAGGCCATGTAAACAGTAACAGGAACTCTCACAGAAGGTAGGCACAGCATCTCTGGAACTGCTACAGACGGCCACTTCTACTACTGCAGCACTTTCTGCTTGTCCCCCCAGAATTACGCAGATGACAGCTGCTGCTTACTAGGCTTTCTTCAGCTACTGAAAACTTTCACTTTGTCATATAACAAGATCAAAAAATGTGTGATCTAGGGATTTTTCTGGCACAAAACGAAAACTTTTTCCTGACTGTTGCCCTTCACGCAGGCTGTAATATATGTATAAGTTTCCTATCAAGAGAATATATTTGAAGTAATGCAAAGTCAAACATTTTCTAAGGCATCATATGTTTTGCAAAATCCTTGTCTCTATTTTGTAGAATCTTAAAATCCACAATCTTGATTTTTGTGTTATAATTGTTGCAACTTCATATATAAATATATACTGTATATATATATTTTTTTTTTCCTGTCCCTTTATCCATTGATAATCTACTCTTAGGACCTCTTCCATTTACTAATCCATCTCTTCTTTCGTCTTTTTTCTCTGATTCTTACTACATAGTTTATGGATGTGATATAATTGTAATTTGTCCTCATGTCCCATTCTCTACGTATTGACTTTTTTCCAAATTATTAAGTAAGGGCTGGTTCACACCACATGCAGTCCACTGCATTTTTTTCTGCAAAAAAAATGCATGGGTAGTAGGTTATATGGTTTCCAATGGCATAGTTCACACCAGTGCTGCCAGTTCCAGTGTGTTCCAGTTCCAGAAAAAAAAGTAGAACATGCTGCTCTTTTTTTTTGCACTGAAATATACGGTAAAACGTTCCAAAAATGCACTGAAAAGCATCAAAAATGCATCAAAAACATGCATGCAGAAATGCATCCAAACGCATCCAAACTGCATTTCTATGGTGTGAACTGGCCTTTTTATTTTTCCTTTTCCTTCTGTATAGCCTTTTGTTCTCTGCTCCTGTTAGTACCCAGGTGGCCATGTATATGTAACAATACTTTTGAAAATAGTTCTATTGATTTGAATGTAAGACTTCTGTGACCAAATCAATGAACTTAATAAATAGTAGCAGCTCTCTTTAGGAGACTACTAGTCAGAATTTGCAAGGGTTGGGAATAAGGTACTGTCATCAGTTGTCTGTAATTGCAAATGTAACACATGGTCTTACAGTGTGGAAAATCTAAATGGTGGACTCTGGAGTCATTGAATGTCTTTGATGACTTATCTGATTCAGAAGTCAGAAGCTAGACACATAATTCCACAATTCCATATACCCTCTGTTTATGCCAGGTTGCCAGGGCTCTCTGCATAAACTAAAGGCAGGAAATTACAAAAGAAGGCAATAATACTAAAATAAGAATATTTGGCATTTAATTTGGATAAGCTAGCACATGGAGTCTTTTTACTGTACGAAGCAATATCCAAGAAATATGGTGAGCAAGGGTTTATTAGACTTCTATATACCCATGTGCCAGTAAATATTTATATGTGTTTACTGTACAAGAAGCACATAACACCTATATTGATGTACAATAATGATGGTCTGAGATGATGCAGTACTGACTGAAAAGTGACGTCTGGGTGGGTGGTGTTGATTACTGCGCTTTGCTGTTTGCCTTTGTGAAAATTCATCTAATCTTTTTTTTATTACAGTCTTTCGGGATGTCCTATAGCTGCAGCAGAGAAATTAGCAAAAGCTCAAGAGAAACATCAAAGCTGCGATGCATCAAAATCCAGCCAAGCATCAGATCGTGTTTTAAGGTGGGGGATAGATATGTATGTATATTCTTTTTTCAGATCTTTATTATCTATTATTTTACATCTGTATTAGATTGCTTGTTCAGTAAGTTACAAACACAATCTTGCAAACTTTTTGATAGATTCAAGCTATTTGTTTCTAGCCAAAACAATTTGTTTGAGTTATGGATAGAGTAAAAGCGCTGAGCAAACTGTTGGTGCTATATAAATCCTGTATAATAATAATAATAATAAACCCTCTGTCAAGTTATTTTTGTTGGGTCTGTGCCCTGCTGAAAAGTTTCCCCCTTATTTCCTGTTTAGGTACTACTAGGGCATTGGTGTGAGCTGAATTCCTTGTTTCCCCCTCTAGAGAATATTATATTCTGTATATATTCCTGTAAAAGTGAGTTTTTTTTTTTTTGCTATAAAAAGATAAAATCTGTAATTACTTTCCAGATAGCATGATGACCAAACGCTAGGACATATTTAATATCGACTAACCATCTTAATTACATTTTAAAAAGTAATCATTTGCTCTTTAAATGTAAAAGATATATTTATGTATTTCTTTTAGGCCCATGTGTTTTGTAAAACAATTAGAAATTCCTCAGTATGGTTACAGGAACAATGTATCAACGACCACACCTCGCTCCAACCTAGCAAAGGAACTAGAGAAATATTCAAAGACTACGTTTGAATACAACAGTTATGACAACCATGCATACGGGAAGAGGGCTATTGCGCCGAAGGTACAGTCCAGGGATATCTCTCCAAAGGGATATGATGGTAAGTCATCTGCTTACTCTATAATATAGGTATTGCCTTAAATTTAAAAAATGAACAGTTTGTACATTTTGTGAGGTTGCCTTCTATACACAATATCTACATAACAAAATTTAGGACAAGTAGTGGACAAGAAAAGAAGCAACCTGTAACTACTGGTGCTGGCTTATCTTAGGGAAAAAAGAGTGATCAGATGAGGTTTGCTGTCTGAGATAAGCTGTCATTGGTGTCTGACGTTCCCAAAGATATTAGACTGTCGTTGAATGTGGCTAACAACTGCCAGATCAAGGGGTTATCATCTCCTGTCTAAGGTTGGCCATAGATGGTGCGATTTTCTTTCCGGCAACCGCTGGTTGCCGGAAAGAAAATTGTTTGATTCCCCTGTCAACCATCAACACAATTAGTGGATGAATGGGGGATGGGGGAATCCCTCCTGTGGAGCTATTGTGTTCTCCCAGCAGGGGGGGGGGGCGTGTCCAGGGGATCCTTCCCTACTGAGAGAACACAGTGATTATTGCTAGTGGCTATAGCCACTGGCAATAATCACATTCCAAAAATATGATATGCTGTTTGTATCCAAGTCAATCAATGGATCGAATCTTGGCTGGTCCCTGCAAATCAGACAAGTTATAAACCATCTATGGCTGGGTTAAAGTGTTATAAACCCACAGTAGTAAAATCAGTCTGTATATGCAGTAAGCATGCTTGATATACTCACTGTGGATCTAATGGGGTTATCCTTCACATTGTGCAAAAAGGCTTGATTCTCTGATCCTTCCATTTTTTTACTGTCCCCAGTCCATCTGCCATAGTACAGAGCAGCAGTGGCAAGTCTGCACATTCACTGTGTGTACTGGTGTATATTGCTAGAGAGTTTTTCTTTTTTGGGGGGGCGGGGAGGGTGCATATGATTGGACACAGGGCACTGTCCAGACAGAAGGTCAGGGGTCATGTAGCCTCATAGGACAGTGAGAGGGGAATGAAAACTCCTCCTCCAAGATTACCAGTTTTTAGCTGGACACTGATAGAAGTCACAAGACTGCTATATACCTCTGATGTGAAAAGGTATTTAGCAGTTTGTATTTACTAAAATAAGTGCATTTCCATGTTCTGTGTACTGTAGAAGACCGAATATAGTGAATGCAGGGGCATGGGTTTAGTAAGACTTTAAGGGTTCTTTTAGGCAATGTTGCATTTACAGTACATGACCAGAGCCTGTATGAATAAACCTTTGGTCTACATCTCCCCCACCCATCTCCTAGGTACACCTCTCTTACAAATATTTTTATCTAGATTGGTAGATCCTGTTGCAGAACAGAATATAGTGAAATGTCCTACATAAACACCAACATTCTGGGGCTGCTGTGTTTTTTAGTGACCATACAGTGAAGCAACTAACATATCTGATGGGGAAGCACAGGGCTGTAATCTACAGAGACAGATATCCATGAAGTGTCTCGGACAATTTTCAAAAGTGATTTCCAGAAGAAGTGTGCCGTCTGTTTAGGGCCATTCTGTGTACTAATACCTAAAACAGATTGTTTGTTCATGGGACTTTAAATGAAGCATGACATGTGGGTAGATTGTAATAGAATGTTCAGTTTAGGCAATACATGAATTCCTCATACATACATAGAAGAGTAATTAAAATAACAAGCTGATGTATTATATTCAGGATACATCAGCATAGAATACGCATACAGTATATGTTGATATAAATATTCCATTCAATTGTTCCCCATATAACCAAATTATTAAAAAGGAGTGCATCCTAAGGCTCTATGCATTTCATAAATATTTATTCACTCCCTTTAGGAGTGGATCCCACCATCATAAAAACCATTAAAAAACAGCTTGATAATTAGTGTAAAAATAATTAGTATCATGACTGCCACTGGGCGTCTGACCCAGGAGTTGTGGAAGGGGCCCATAGCATCCTAGGAGGTCATCTAAAGAGTGGCACTAGGTGTTACATAGATGCAATTCAATTGCATCAAAAACCCAAAGTCCAACCAAAGTGGACAAATGGGTATGTGTGGGCTAGGGATCATCAACTTCAAAGACCTTGGTCCCAAATGGAGAGGAACAGGTTTCCGTGAAGTGTCTCTAACAATTTTCAAAAGTTATTTCCAAAACAAAGTGTACTGTCTGTTTAGGACCACTCTGTGTAGTAACTAGAGAAAAGTGAGTGGTTTTGATAAACCTAATTTTGCAGGTTAAATAAGAAAAGTTCCCCTTTACAGCAAGGAGGGTGCAGAGCTTCCACTTGTAAGACCAATGTGGTGTGTCCCCATTGACATGGTGATCACATGGTTTTGTTCATAAAAATCAAACACAGAGAGTGAGGCCCCCACCTCCTTCCCCAAAGCAGAGACAAGTGGGGAATTTAGAATTACACTATATAGCAAGACGATTGTGGACACTTGACCATCACATTTTTTAGGAGCTTTCTTGCTGTATTGTTATGTCAAAGAGAAAGGTAGGAGCATAATATGTTTGAGGCACATCAGCAGTTATTTTTTGTACTTGATGCGTGTTTAAAAGGGTAACTGGTGAAAAGTGCCTGTAGTCTAGACATGTACTAAATACGTTTTTGTATTTTGCCTTGACATAAGCTTTAATGCTTGTATGTATAGAAATTGAATTTGCATAATGCAAGGCTTTTTGTGCAGGATTTAAAGGGCAGTTGCTTTAACCATCTGTGTTTTTTTCCATCTTTCAGCACTATGGTCCTGGAGATCTCTAGAATACAATAAAAAAGAAATAAGAATTTATTTTGTCTGTATGAAAGCAATGTAGAGAATCCCTGTTGTCTTGAAGATATTGATTAATGCACACTTATCTCTGCAGCTAAACGTTACTGTAAGAACTCAAGCCCGACAAGCAGCACAACGAGCAGTTATGCCCCCAGCAGCAGCAGTAGCAATATGAGCTGTGGTGGAGGCAGTAGCGCCAGCAGTACGTGTAGCAAAAGCAGCTTTGATTATTCCCATGACATGGAGGCTGCACACATGGCTGCAACCGCAATCCTGAATCTATCGACCCGCTGCAGGGAGATGCCACAGAACCTCTCTACCAAACCTCAAGATCTCTGCAACAGGGTAATTGCATAAGACCTAAACTTCAGAAAAATAATATATTTTGAAACCAATATCATTTTCATTATTTTATGTAAAAATGCACCTGTCATTAAAAAAATACCGTACCACACTTCCACTTTTTGTAAAGTAATGCAAATAGATGCTGTATTGCCATGAAAGTAGGCCATGACCCTTAACCTATCAGTCAACCCAGATGCATCCAGAATCTTGGGAGCATTTTGAGTTTTTTTGTACTGGGGTATTTGTATGATTGGAAGTATGTCTGCAAAATATATTTAGGTGGTATATACAATGTATACTGTATATATTTTCAGCTTAAAGGATAAGTTCACCTTTTGTAGCATGTTATATGTTACACCCATATTCAGGGTGTAACATGCTACAAATGGACTGGGCTCTGAACCTCCCATCCCTGTTGTAACAACTAGTTGGGGATCTTCTCTCTCTCACTAGCTCCTCCCACTTGTACGTGTCACTCATTCACAGCATTCTGTGAATGAGAACACTACAAGTTCCGACAACCTTTGCGGCTGTCTCCTTGTAGTTCTCAATGAACTACCACGGTGCTGTGGAGCGCCATGGTAGTTCATTGAGTCTTGCTATCAGTAAGTATCTGTTTGCCCATATAAGATATACAGGCACACAGATATACTGACAAGTCTGCAGGTGACCTGCATGGCACCAGCGATCTGAAGATTGCTGGTGCAATGCTTTAGAGGCTCCAAAAACAAAAAATAATAAATGCACATTTTTTGTGCATTTAATTTTTTCGTTAAAAGATGAAATTATCCTTTAACGTGCATTTACACATTTAAAAAATCCTTAGGGCTAATAGCCCTAACTGTTCCTCCACTAATTCTTTTAAAAAGGCAAATGCAAACTGTAGCTTTAAAACGCCAAGCATTATGTTAATAGGTAAAATGGGTAATTGTTAAATGTTTCCTATTATAATCAATAATTGCTGGAAGGTTCTTTGGCCTCATGCACAGTAACACTTTAGCCAATGTGTGGAAAATCCTAGTGTTTCAGGTGCCAGGGGGAAAAAAGCACATAATGTTCAGCACCGCTGACATCAGCTTGTCAGAATCTATGACAGGCTGAAATGCGCTGCTGCTAGAGGCAGCTGGATATTGCACCAAGTGGTACTCGCATTTAGAGCCATATGTGTTCAGGAACTTATGGCCAGAATGCAGAAGATGGAGTTTGACTTAAAATGCCTGTCTTTTAACAATTGTTTCCCTGAGTTTATATCCATTGTTTTGGTAATACTGAGTATCTAACGTAGCATCTCCAGTCCATATCTCCTTTTCTTTTTGTTTCTTCTAGTACCAATGTCTTTTTCAAATTTACAGTGTATTATGAGCAACACTTGGGCAGTAACGTCTTGTAGTTTTTAAACTGTTACGCTGGAATTTCATTTCTCTTGCAGCCTTTATATTAGCAGTCCTTTCTAAGGTTCATTTAATTTCACTTACTTAGATATCTGACTCTAGATCACTGAATATCAATTTTATTATATCACTGTTCATTTTGATTTTAAGTAAAACCTCCTTCCTAATACAAGGAATTTGTTAGAATTACTATTAAATGACAGAATCCATGGACATACAGTTGTGTCCAAAATTATTCAACCCCCACTGAAATTTGTGTGTTTTGGCCAGTTTGACATTGCTTTTGATCATTCAGTCATCTTGCTTACATTTACATTAAAGATTAGGTCACAAATATAACATAACAGTTTTAATGAAATAACCACAAATGTCTTTTCTGTGCTCACAGCATTATCAGTTTTATTCAACCCCAAGTGACATTCAATCTTAGTACTTAGTACAGCATCCTTTTACAGTTATATAGCTTTTAAACGTGAAGCATAGCTTGACACAAGTGTCTTGCAGCGATCTACGGGTATCTTCGCCCATGCTCATGGGCAAAGGCCTCCAGTTCAGTCACATTCTTAGGCTTGCGCACTGCAACTGCTTTCTTTAAGTCCCACCAGAGGTTCTCAATCGGATTTAAGTCTGGTGACTGCGATGGCCACTCCAAAATGTTCCAGCCTTTCCTCTGCAACCATGCTCTAGTGGACTTGGAGGTATGCTTGGGATCATTGTCCTGTTGAAAGGTCCAACGTCTCCCAAGCCTCAGGTGTGTGACGGACTGCATCACGTTTCCATCCAATATCTCCTGGTACTGAAGAGAATTCATGGTACCTTGCACACGCTGAAGCTTCCCTGTACCTGCAGAAGCAAAACAGCCCCAAAGCATGATTGACCCTCCACCATGCTTCACAGTAGGCAAGGTGTTCTTTTCATCATAGGCCTTGTTCTTCCTCCTCCAAACATAGCGTTGATCCATGGGCCCAAACAGTTCTAATTTTGTTTCATCAGTCCACAGAACACTATCCCACAACTTTTGTGGTTTGTCCACATGGCTTTTGGCATACTGCAGTCGACTCTTCTTATTCTTTGGAGACAGCAAGGGGGTACGCCTGGGAGTTCTGGCACGGAGGCCTTCATTACGCAGTGTGCGTCTTATTGTCTGGGCTGAAACTTCTGTACCCACATCTGACAAATCTTTTCTCAGTTCCTCAGCAGTCACACGGGGACTTCTCTCCACTCTACGCTTCAGGTAGCGCACAGCAGTCGAAGTCAGCATCTTCTTTCTGCCACGACCAGGTAGCGTTTCAACAGTGCCCTTTGCCTTGAATTTGCGAATGATGCTTCCTAAGGTGTCTCTTGGTATGTTTAACATCTTTGCAATCTTCTTATAGCCATTGCCCTTCCTGTGAAGAGAAATCACCTCTTCTCTTGTCTTCCTGGACCATTCTCTTGCCTTCACCATGTTTGTAACCACACCAGTAAATGTCTAGAAGGAGCTGAGTATCACAGTCATTTTAAAGCTGCCTAATTGGTGCTTATTATGCTTGATTGCTGCTCGGTGACATCCACAGGTGTTTTCAATACCTGATGGAAAGCACCTGTATGAACCTCTGTTCTTCAGAGTGGTAGTCTTTAAGGGGTTGAATAATTGTGGCAATGAAGAAACCACATAAGAACCATTTACTACTGTATTACATAAACAATTGATGTCATTTTAGTTGCATTTGGGTAGTTACAACGTCCTTGTAGGATTTGATTCTGAATACAATTCCAAATGTACACTATAGTCCCTAAACCCCTTTACAGCATTGGGGGTTGAATAATTTTGGACACAACTGTATCTGTGTGTTTTGCTGTGAAATAATGCACATTTTGGTACATTAAAATTCAATTATATCCATTTTTAGTTAAAAACCATTATAAACTCCAAAACAAAAATGTATTATATGGTAGCTTGTCAGTTCTTATTTGTGGTAGCTGCATTCGTTTTCTTTTTAAAGAGTGCATGCACACTGGGCTTAAACAAACTTCTTCTACAGACGTTTTATGGGTTTTTTTCTGCCGGTAAAAGCAGCTCAGTGTTATTCTATGTGTCCATGCACATTAGGATGTTTAGAGGCATATTTTAATTTTAATTTAGAGGCTGAAAAAAAAAACCCTTCTGGATTGCATTTTTGAGAGGAGTTTTGTGGCAGAAACGAATGCTAAATGAGCCTAAACAAGCCTAAATGCATGTACAAAAATGCTCTATATGAGTGGGTTTTTTTCTGCCAAATGTGCTCTCTCAAACCACTTTCTCAAACTCAATCTCTTTAAAACTGAGCTTGTAATATGTCCTCCTCCCCGCCCACCATCCCCCCCCCCCCCCCGATTTTGCCATCGAGATCAACAGCACAGCCATTGGCCCCTCCACACATGCCAGGGTACTGGGTAAAATCCTAGACTCTGATCACTCCTTCAGGCCCTACATCCAAACATCCAATCACCGGCTAAATCTTGCCGCCTCAACCTCCTCAACATTTCCAGAATTCACCCCTTCCTGGTTAATGACATCACAAAACAACTTACCACACCTTGGTTATATCCTGCCTTGACTACTGCAGCTCCCTCCTCACTGGTCTAACTTTACACAGGCTATCCCCTTCTTCAGTATATTAAAAATGCTGCTTCCAGGTTTATACACTGTACTATCTGATCTGTGACTGCTGCCCCTCTCGGCCAATCTCTTCACTGGCTTCCACTAGCCCAGAGTATTAAATTGAAAATGCTAACCACAATGTACAAAGCCATTCACAGCAACGCCCCCAGCTACATCACCAACATTCGTATGCAGATATCACCTATATCATCCTCTCCTCTACTCCTGAAAGGTCTTGCTATCTAGTCCCCCAGTAACCTCCTCCCACACTTACCTCCAGGACTTTTCCACAAACCTCTCCAATCCTCTGAAACTCCCCAGTATGTATGGCCAGCTCCTACCCTGTCCACCTTTAGGCGATCCTTGAAAACCCATTTATTTAGGAAAGCCCACTGACCTCCACCTACCTCACCTCCATCAGCACATCCCCTGCAGCTTTTACCTTTTGTACCATCTCCCTCCCGTTAGATTGTAAGCGCCATGAGCAGAGCCCTCCTATACCTTCTGTATTGAACTGTATTGTAATTGTACTGTCCCCCTTTATATTGTAGAGCACTGCACAAACCATTAGCACATATAAATCCTGTTTATTAATAATAATAATAATAATAATAATCAACATCATCATCATAAATAATAATGGACCCTTAAGCTACTTTTTCTTTTATTTTCACGTGGTGATCTGGGCAATAACACACTTCCTGTCTTAGGTTATCTACATTCTGAATGGTGGAACAACAGAGACAACCTTGCACAGCAGCATTGTCATTCTGGGGAGAGGCTAGTGTACTAGCAGGTTTAGATGCACACCAACACCAACTGCTACATTTGCAGGATAGCTTGTTCTGTTGAAAAACATCAGTTACTGAAAAAAGTAAATGGTTTATCTCAATCTTCTAACTGCCGTTTTTGCTGGACAACTTGGCCCGTGAAAGGAAGTAGAAAATAACGTGCTGACTGGCTGGATTACTGGGTAAAAATAAAGG